GTCAGGCGCTTCTGCCGCTGTTTCTGGTTCAAAAGTGGCTTGACCTGTGGAATGCGGCACCTGTAGCCCATTTCCTGCACACGCCTGTGCACGGTGGCTCTGGATGTTTTTACTCCAGACTCAGTCCACTGCTTCCGCAGGTCCCCCAAGGTCTGGAATCGGCCCTTCTCCACAATCCTCCTCAGGGTCCGGTCACCTCTTCTCGTTGTGCAGCGTTTTCTGCCACACTTTTCCCTTCCCACAGACTTCCCACTGAGGTGCATTGATACAGCACTCTGGGAACAGCCTATTCGTTCAGCAATTTCTTTCTGTGTCTTACCCTCTTGCTTGAGGGTGTCAATGATGGCCTTCTGGACAGCAGTCAGGTCGGCAGTCTTACCCATGATTGCGGTTTTGAGTAATGAACAAGGCTGGGAGTTTTTAAAAGCCTCAGGAATCTTTTGCAGGTGTTTAGAGTTACGTCGTTGATTCAGATGGTTAGGTTAATAGTTGTTTAGAGAACCTTTTCATGATATGCTCATTTTTTGGGACAGGCATTTTGGGTTTTCATGAGCTGTATGCCATAATCATCAGTATTAAAACAATTAAAGACCTGAAATATTTCAGTTGGTGTGCAATGAATCTGAAATATATGAAAGTTTCATTTTTATCATTACATTATGGAAAATAATGACCTTTATCACAATAGGCTAATTTTTTGAGAAGGACCTGTACACAGACCAAAGATCCAGAACTAATTGAAGGTTTACACTTTATAGTCTCTGTGGCCTGGGGACACCTTGGGAAGACCTGCAAAGTGTCACTGGAAAAAGGGGTGTCTGGATTTCTGTCCTGAACCTGTTGCCTCTGAGAGGCAATTACTGAAAAGAGGACAAAAATGAATGAACAGACAGACAGACTGATAACTTACTTCTGATTAGTCCCTTTGTCCTTTATTAGCTCAAAGTCCCAGAACTTCACCGTCTTATCTGCACTTCCTGTGATGATCCCTCTCTTTACAAACCCACAGAAAAAAATAAATGAAACACCTCAGAAAAAAACCTGCTCGTCTGTGAAAAAACATGCTTAGAAATTGTAGCTAAATTCAGAAAAACAAAAAAGTGTCTGGAAGAAAGTTTTCCACCAGCTAGCATGGTGTTACAGGCAGTTACCTGATCGGGGGCCAGGCACAGGGACCACACGGCTCCATCATGGGCTTCTACAATCTCCAGAAGGCTCCCTGAGGCTAGGTCAAAGACCTGCAACTTCCCACCCTGAGACACATAAAAGTTGACACAAAATCCAAAAGAAAAGAGCTCTACTTGGATTACAATTAGAAAATTATGACATTATTTCTAACCAGTGGTGGGCACAGTTAATCAAAATGTTAGCTTTGCCAACTGCTAATTTGATAACTAAATAATTACCTTAAATAACGTTAAACTGATAATAAAAATGAGTGGAAGCTAACGCTAAAGCGCTAACTTTTATCATACACTGTAAGACTGTAATGTAACAACGTTGTGAGTAGGGCATTAACAGAGTCCTCGAGTGATCAACACATGGATTGCTAGGACATCTATCGAGGTTAGAAATGTAAGGTCGAGTATCCGTAGTGACGTCACATTATGTGACCACCGTATGACCGTAGGGGGTGGTGTTGCACTGTTGCAGGTCACAGAGTATGGTGCAACACCGGGTCCAATCCACCGAACCAGAACCAGCTTCCTCTTGTTTCACAAACAAAAAGCAAAAAATATTCATCTCTAAACCTATAAAAAAATCTATAAACATGTTAATCTCTAAAACTAAACTTAATGCGCACCACAGCTGGTGGTGGTGCGGGGTGGTCGACCCCCCCCACCCCACACCCCCACACACTGTTAAGTTTCGTTTTTGACGTGCTGCATGTTTCTTCACGTTTGCAGTTTAATAATAAAAACTAATAGTTTAGTTTTTCCTGTGACTTATTTGCAGTATGATAAATGGTAGGAGCAGAATAAATGCTCCCAATGTTTTGTTGGTCTTTGTTTTTGTAAATAATTACCTTTTATTTCGGTTTTATTTATTTATTTATTTTTGTATCTTGAGATCTATGACATCATCAAATACTCGAGTTCTACTCAGGTTTTATTATGTTAATGTCGAGTTTAAAAATTATATACTCGTTCAACCCCTAGTTGTGAGTGAACTAAACTCTGTGAACGGTTCATGAATGATAAGCATCCATATTCATGCAGTCGTCCTCCAATGCGACAGCTGGGGGTTCAAATCCACCAGCAGTCACGTGCTGAAGTGTCCCTGGGCAAGACACTGAACCCCTCACTGCCTCTGATGTGTGTCCCATCAGTGTCTGAATGTGATAAAGCTCTGATTAGTCTTTGTAGAGATCTAGTATAGAGCTGTGTGAATGGGGAAATGAGGCACAGATTGTTGTAAAGAGCTTTGAGGGTCTTGATAAGACAGAAAGGTGATAAGTAAGTACAGTCCATTTATGCCCCGTTCAGAGGTGAGCTTACAGAAATTAATCTTGTCCATCAGAACCGAACAGGCAGAGCAGAACTCTACTGTGCTGAAGTAAAGAGATGCTTTCACTGTGTGTAGGATGTCTCCCTCCTGTCATTTACTTTAACAAATTAACTCACTTTGGTCAACTACTTTTATAGAATAACTGCAAAGTTGCTGTGAGTCATCATCAACATTCTCTCCATAATAAATCTGTTTGTATTAAAGTAAAGATGTGTGAAATTAGACAGCACGGTGGCACAGTTGGTAGAGCTGCCACCTCTCAGTGAGAAGGTCACCCAGGTTCAAATCCCGGCTGGGGGCCTTTCTGGGTGGAGTTTGCATGTTCTCTCCGTGCAGGCGTGGGTTTTCTCCAGGTACTCCAGTTTCCGCCCACAGACCAAAAACATGCATGTTAGACTGATGGTAACTCTAAATTGTCCCTAGGTGAGAGAGAGAGAGACAGAGAGACAGAGAGAGAGACAGAGACAGAGAGAGGGAGAGAGAGAGAGAGAGAGAGAGAGAGAGAGAGAGAGGGAGAGGAAGAGGGAGGGAGAGAGAGAGAGAGAGGGAGAGGAAGAGGGAGAGAGAGAGAGAGAG